AAAGATCGAAAATCGAATCGAATCATGACTTTAACATCGAAATTGCGTGCCACCCCTAGTCTTACCTGTTCAAAGAACTCATCCATGAAGTGGTCCCTGTCGACCTGCACCACCTCTTCATCATCATCGCTGTCCTTAGCCTGCAGACGGACAGGAAATAAACACGTTTCAGAATCATCATCATCATCATCATCATCATCGCCGCTGTTCACTAAAGTCTAAAATCAGCTTTTAGTTACAGACATGTTCAGTTGTTCCTTCAATTAGCTGAGCTGCAGCTGTGGGGAATCAGTTCTTCTACAGGGTCTTTTAAAGGAAAGACAGGCAACACCTTCTGTCCTTAGAGCCTCGATTTGGGTAAAAAAAATCCCCAGAGAGGACGGACAGACAGGAAGTAGAGAAACACAACCACATTCTGATGCATGAAGATTATGAAATATATGTGGATTCAACAACGTCAGTGGTGTGGTCGCTGACTGTTTGTGGGAGAGTTAGCATAGCCTCTGCTAGCATCACTCATTAGAACACTCATTCATTGAAAGAAGAGAAAGGAGACTAACATTAGCCTCTCGTCTCCAGTACAAGTCATATTAAACACAGGCTAGCAGCTAACATTATGCCTGCCCTTTTCCAAACAGTTCCACACAACGACTTCCACATGGTTCTGTGTAACAAACCATCTGTAGCAGTTCAGACAGAGAAAAACATTTCACAGGAAAAGGACGGACCGACTGTGACAATCAGAAATATCTTTACAAAATAAACACTCATCCTGTTTTTGTTTCATATTAATATTTAAAGTATTTATTTGTATTTTTAAGTTTGCATGTTTTTTACAGACAGGCAGACAGACAGACAGGTGGTGAGGTCAGCAGGTGAGACAGGCTACAGCGATCTCTCAGTGAAACAGTTTCCAATTACACTGATTGGATTTCTATTATTGTGATAATGAAAAGCTCGTCGCTATCGACACTCTTTAATGTTTCTAACAGACCTGAGATCATCTTCATCAGCTACGGCTGCAGTGAGCGGTTGGCCTGTACATATAACAACAACAACAACAATAACAATAACCATTATAATAATAATAATAATAGTGCATTACTGGCTGTGAGCAGACAGACAGAAGCAGAGGACAGGTGGGTAAACAGAGTAGAAAGACAGGTAGGCAGGCTGAAAGAGGAGCAGAGAGACAGGTGTGTGAATGCAAAGAAAGACGTGAGACAGGTAGCGAGACACAAAGCCTCTCAGCTCCATTACACAAGCTTATAACAGGCTAACATTAGCGTCCCATCATTACGACTCATAAAATGTTTTTGTACTTTTACTGCAGTAAACTTCTGAATGCAGTATCCGTTCACTGCGATAGAACAGCTTTTACTACTTTTACTGAATTAAAGGATCAGAGGACTTCCTCCAGCACCGACTGTCATCATCTAACTGTTCTCTGATTGGCTGAAATCTTCCTGTTTGTTTATTTGTCTCTGGTGTTCGCAGCTAGCTGGTTAGCGTAGCATCCATCCCTCCACCTCTGTCTCTCTGCATCTCTGTGTGGTCAGACTGCAGTTACAGCGTCCCTCTGTGCCCTCTCTCCCCTCCTCCCCCCTCCGTCCTCCCCCCTCTGCCTCACCCTGCGTCACACCGACTGCAGAGGAGAGACAAACAGACACAAAGAGACAGCGAGGGAAGGACAAACACACTCTGTTTATACTTGAGATCCTCTGCTGGAATCAGTGCGTTCGTCTCGTGACTGAACCAGTGACTGATCTGATTCCTCAGCAAACATTATAAAGCAGTTAGCGACGCCTCGGCCCGCAGATATAAACAGCAGCGCAGCCAGTAAAGTAAGAGGAGAGAGGCATCATGGGAACTGTGGTTCTGCTGCTGCCTGGCTGGACCCCCCGCAGGGTCTACAGACAAACAGAGTCTGGGTCCAAGACTGGATTATGGTTTCTAGCTAATGATTTATTTAATGAATATATTTGTTATGAGGTCACAGTAAGGTGAGAACCCCCCCCCCCCC